TATTGTCAAATTAAAATGTGTGAAGACACTATGCTAGTGTGGTCTGTATATAAGGTGGTCTGTAAATAAGGTTTAGTCTCCCCTATTATGCAGTTGTAGTAAGAAAAATACACACAGAACAAGCACAGGCAAATAAAGGTTGTCTAATTTGAATAACATGTTTACTAATTTGAAATTGGCCCCAAAGCTTCAAAATAATAAACTTCAGAGTTATTGTATATCTTATATATTCATAAAGGGAGGATATGTTAAATTACAATTTCCTCCTAATGATCTAGAAATCTGTGAAAATACTTATACTTTCAATTGTCATACTAAGGAAGAAAATGGTCTCAAAGATTTCCAGAGGTGATCTTGTGCATAGGGTACTAGGATTTGTTTATGAAACTGTTTCATATGCCTATTGGCTTATTATTGGCTGTTTATCACTGCAGCCCACAGAGATGGCTGAGGACTAAATGCTATCTTGAGTTCTCAGAAGTATGAGGGTATGAACTGAGCTAACATAAACTTCTACAAACACTGGTTGCTCCAACTCTTGCCTTTGGGCCAGAAAAATGCAGTGTCATCGGTGCATATCCAGAATATGTTGTATATCTTTCATGCATTATTTTTTCCATTATAAGAGAATATCCCTCTGTTTTTCTTTTTTTTAAAAAAAAAAATTTGCATAGCCTGTGCCCCTGCTTTATCCTCTTGATTTTTCCTTCTGAAACATTTCCTTACATATTAGTTTTTCTCCCCTATGGTCCCTAGAGACCATTCTGCCTCATATGTAAGTGAGACCACAGATATAACGTATTGAGGAACCTTTTGACATTAACCTAGAGTATAGATCTCCAGAAGTAGAAGTGAAAGTATTGGATGTGAGAAATAACAGAGAATAAATAAAAGAGAAAGTTGCATAGAATAATCAGGAGGAAAAAAAAAGAGAGAGATCTCATGCTCTGTTGCTTTTCTCAATTATGAAGCACATTTTTACTGATGTTATTAAGGTCAGAAAGGGGAAGAGGCTTTGTTAAGGTACATATTTTTTGAGCTTGTTGATAATAAAAGTTAATGGAATGATGAAAAAAAATCTTTTTGCCAAATGCATTAGTCTAATTTCTATATAATATGCATTTTTGACTGTGTACAAAAGTGAAAATGGAACAGAATGAAAAAGATCATGAAAGAAAATAACCATAAAATAATTACTTGGATTTCAGAAGAGCAGGAAAAAATACATAAACTAGGTTCTTTAAATATGAAGAAATGGTACAGAAACACCAGAAGATGCAGCAGCTTCAAGTAGGTCAAAACCATTATTATTTCTTCTGCAGCATGACCTATAAGGATTTTTTTAAAATCAACTTAAAAAAGAGTGTTGTCCACCTTCTATTTCCAAATTTTCCAATAACTGAAAACAGACTTTTATAGAAAAGTCCAGTCCTTTAGAGTTATCGTAAGTTGTTGGAAGAGATAATTTTCAAGAGTGTTCACTCTTCCTTTGCTTCTCACATAAATACAAGTCCTGAATTCCTAGTCCACACATGAACAAGAGCTAGGAAATTATGTTTGGGCCTATAAGGTTTATTCATTTTATATTGATATTGAGATACTCTGGTATCTCTTCTTTTCTTTGTATTTTTCACTCTTCCCAAGCAAAATCATTTTCATAGTTACCTGTCTCCAAAAGCTGGTTAGAAATAGTGAGAATAATATCTACCTCTTTCCACTTTTTTTTTTTTTTTTTTTTTTAGTGCTACCTGATAATTAGGGGCAAAGCTTTACTGTATGTGTTCTACAAAAGATGTCACCTGGTTACATTCTGTTTTGTGCATTCTAACACCATAGGTGTTGTAAAAAACAAAGAAGGAAATTTAAAAAAAGAAGAAAAAAAAAGAAAGAAACATAGAAATGTGGATAATGATTCCAGTTAGATATTAAAAAAACAAGAGGCGGGGGCTGGGAGTACTTCATAATGCTACTTCTCCCACCTCATCCACTTCCTCCAGTGTTCTAAAAAGATTTAGGCTGTGTTAAGAAAAAAACATGGCTTTTCAGAGTTGCTTAGAGTTAAATACTTTCCAGACAAAGGATGCTGGTGAGGAACAGATAGTTCATTTGTATCTTCGGTCTCTTTATTGAGAATGGCAAAAATGCAGCAATAGTTGTCAACTTTACTTCACTCTTCTTCCCTCTAGACAGACAACTGCTCATCACATAATAAATGCAGGCAAAGCATTAATTCCACATTGAGCTGTCTCTGGACTTTCCACATAAACTTACAGTGTTTACAGCAAACAACTTAGAAGAAGAAGAAAAGTGAAAAAGAGAGTGGTCTGTATGGTATTTTCTTAAAGATCTACACAAAAGAAATAGACCGTATCTCAGCTGACAACCAGATGTGTAAAACATATCAATTTTCAAAGGCAGGCACACTGAAGAGCCTGCTTATCCAGAAGTAATTCCATTCTCTGCAGCTGCCAGTAGATGAATCCAAATTCTTACAGGAAGGAAAAAAAAAAAAAGAAAAAAAAAAGCAATACAGAACAAAGCAAAAGAAAACAACAACAAAAAAAACAACTCAGCTCTTTCTCATTGGGTCTTCTAAACACAGCAATATAACACAGCTTTTAAATAACACCTAGCAAATTACACACACTTTTTTTTTTTTTTTTTTTTTTTTTTTGTTTTAGTATGTGAAGAATTTAAGGGTAGTTGTGATGTATTTCCTACCACTAGAATTTTTAGAATAAAGACTGGATGATATTCCAAAAAGTGCAGCTAAATACAGTCAAAAAATAATTCAAAGGATTCCCACTGCGTGAAAGGGCTACAAAATGAGTATGGTCCCTCCCCTCCTCACCCTGCAATGCTATTACAAGTCTTATAAGATGTTGAAATATCTGTGGCTTATGAAATGAGTTTTGAATATTACGGCTCAGGCTCACGATCCACTTCCAATTTGCATGCAATATTACCTGCAATTTACTAAGTGATAAGCTTATACACAAAGATAGTTACTATAAATCAGCTGTCATGAAATAGCTTGGTCAATGGTTAGTAACTGCATTTGCAGACTAATCTTTTAGAGGGAATGGCAGCAGTCCATGCCAGCAGAAGCAGAGATAGCAGAAGCATAGTGCTGCAATCCTTGGATTTTGGATGAAGTGCTTCACGTTCTCCCACCTTACAGAAAGAATTAAGGATGGAAAAGTGCCAAGCAGCTGTTCACTTCAGCGCAGCAAAACAGAAAGGCTCCTAAGGCAGTAAAATGAAAACATGGAAACAAATCTCTCTTGCAGAAGAGAGATAAATGAAAGTCTGGCTTGCAGAACTATCATCTGTAGTCAACCAAAAGTGATTTAGATCAGTGTTTTGACCAGTTCTGAAGGCAAGGGGCATTAGGGCCATCCATGTGTTATTCTAATTGAGGCTGAGTCAGTATTGCTCCTCCAGTAAGCAAGCTAATTCCTATATTTTAAACGTGTTGTGATTGCTTCTGACTAAAACTTTAGATGTGGATCTCAGAGAGTTCATCCACTGAACAATTGAACCGCAAATTAACACAGGACTGGGAGGATCTGCGTAAGCACCAAGAAGGTAGGCATTTGCTTTGACCACTCCTTGTAGCACGTCATTTGCTGTACATTATTCTGGCCTCAGTCAGAGGCCATCTGCTTTTGGGGAAGAAAATGGAGCAGCAAAAAGGACAAGTAGCACAGAGCACAGTAGCGCAGAGGTGAGGGCATTTTCAAGCATGATCTTTATGAGTGTGCAAAAAATAAAAAGCTTTCAGTACATTCAAGATAAACTTCTCTGAAGCTTTGCAGTGAGGTTGAGTCTCTTGACTCACATGAGACTTTTTGAGAGGAATCAAGTTTAGCAAAAAGTTCCATATGCAATGATAATATGAATTTACTGAATGGCCAACCACCCACCTCAGGTGGAGGAAAAAGAAAACAAACAAATCCAAAATATAACACTTCGTTCAAAGTACCCAACACTTTCACTTCCTTCAATGTATTCAACACTTTCTTGTTTTCTGTTTTTAACATTCACTTCAGGACCTGAACTATTTTTCTGATCTAGTGTTAATTCTCCTTGGAAGCTACTAATAATTACATGGTAGAATTAGCCCTTAATTGACCATTTTGCATTGGGAACTTCTACCTGCCATTTATGTTCCCAGCTGCCTATTGTTCCTATTGTTCTGAACAATAAAAATAAGAAAGGAGGTAAAGAATAAACAGTTACAAAGAAAAATGAGCTTAGAGTGAAGAAAAAAGGACACACTGAGGTAGGAAAGTTTTAAAGAAAGAATGAAAAAATGGTTTATGAAAAGTGAACTTCAGACTCAGAAGTAAAATACAGATGCATGCCTTTAATATGCAGAATGCACTACCATTACCCAGAAATGATATTTTTCCAGACTATATCCCATTTAAAGTAACATTTCAGGAAAGATAAATTAATTATTTGCATATATAGAATATATAACTAAGTGGCTATGAGATTATGAACTCAGGATTTGTATATAATACATAAATTATTGTAACTGTCATCTATAATAAGAATAATGAATATTTTAATTTTATAAGTATATTTAAATCTAACTGAAAATTTTATTTTAAAAAACTATTATCAATTCTTTGCTTATTGGCATGGGCAACCCGCATAGACAATACTTGGAATGGTTTCTGATGGAAAGAATAGTGAAAAAAATAATAATAAAACAACCACCTATCAATGTAACCGTTAACTAGTTCACTTCTTCCAGTACAAATTTTGGTTAACTGATAGAGGCAAAAAATACTTTTTGGTATTTCTGCAGAAGAGAGGTACCCACAACTGTTGACTTTATCAGTCAATATCTACTTTTTATAAGCTTAGGTATAGTAAATCACCACAACACTGAAAGAGGATATAGGTATAGTGAATAGCCATAACATTGAAACAGGATATTTATGTAAATATAATCTCGTATAGTATGATTTTAAAATATATTTACTTACCCAACAGACAGGAAAGGTTCTTTTGATTCAAGTCTGTCAAATAAATAACAAAAGTTTTAAACCATATTTAGAATGTATATAAAATATTTATAATGTATACAGAGAGCATTTCAGAACAAATATATGAAGAATTTAATACAGCCATTCTCAGTATCCAGTTTAATTGGTGAACAATACACAATCTGACAACAATAGAAGACTATAAAGGGCCTGATCCATTATTCTAGGAGTTTGATTAGGAAAACAAACCAAAACAAAACCAAAACAAAATTTCCTCAGTTTTGGCTATGTTGACCAAATATTTTTCAAAGAAGCAATCTTATGGATTTTAAATTTCATAAACTAAGGCGACGTGCTGATATTTACATGGAATGTTTAAAGTGAACAAATAATACTTTGTCACCTACCCCCTTTTTATTCATTTCCCTTATAAATTCAATTATTTTCAGTTCTTGATGGCTCTGGTTCAAGAAGATGGTGCTCTTTTTTTTTTTTTTTACACCTTTAAACATAAATTTATGTATAGGTTTAAGTTTCTTGCAGAACTGAGGGCTCCACACCTATTTTGTTTTCTTTCCAATATCATCTGCTTTTGTATTCTGATTAGCGCTTCATCCTGTGAATTTCTGCAGATACGCCACGATTAGCACTGCATTGGAACCTGAATGATGTGAATGGTGCTAAATTGATAGACCCAGAACCATTGCTATTTCTAGGGAAAAAAAAAAAAGATACTGAGAGTGCCTCTCTCCCTCTGTCTAACAGCTTGCTATTACTTCTGTCTTTGTGAGGAGTTTCATCACCTGCACACTCTGCCATGACTTGTTTCCACCCAGCCAGAAACAATCTAAAAATCCTCATTTACATTCTTATATACTAATTCTGTTCCAATACCTGCTGGAAGTGCTAGCCTTAATTCTGGAGCACTTGCTCGCTGCAATGAGCTTACTGATGCCAGGTATTTGTCAGGACCATTAGCATGTGAGTTTCTGGTCCTTCAAAAAATATATCTTAAAAAATTATTTTGAAGCATTACCTGACACAAACATGATTCAAAATTCTGCATTACACTAAACTTCACTGAGAGGATGGTATTCTGAATTAATGATAATGAACATGTAGCCTTTAAGAGTGTTTCTAAGAAGAGCAAAATAAATCATTACTGGACCTGAACATTTCACCTGTGATGACCTTCCCATCCAAAATCAAATTAACCTAAAGTAGAATATCAGACTATAAATAAAGTATTTGTCTGTTTTTTTAAAAGACCTTTTCTCTAGGTATTCCTTTGTGGGAAAGCAAACAAGTACATATACATTTATTATTTTAATGTTTTTGAAAAATAAAAAAGATCCGTTTAAATGTTTATTGCCATCTATCAGGACAGTATTTCCAAGAACAAATTTGACACAGTGCTTTTGAAAGGATTATATGATTTTGTTTTTTAAAATGCATGTCAGCTTTTTGAAAGGCATTTACTTTTCAAGAAGACATTTTCAAAATCACTAGAGGAAAAAAACTGAAGAGTATATCTTCATTTATAGTGCTAGCTTCAAGTTCTTTAACCTATCTTCCTGGGAATAGATCTTCAGCAGAGGTGAACACTGCTAACCTAAATCTTGAGGAAAGGCTAAAATACATCCACAAAATACTACTTTTTTCCATTGTCCTCATGGCTACATCTGGCTTCTTCACTTGTTTCAGAGACTGTTATTCACATGGAAGTAGGAGGCTGGGAATGGGGGCCACTAGTGTGTGCGGGTCCTGATATGCACTGTGTTCCTGGAAAAGTAGCATAAGCCTGAGGCAGCACTCTTCACATTCCTCCTTTTCCTTCCCTGGGGTACTACAGTTCAGAAAATGTGTCTGATCTTTGCATTTTTGCTCTGATATACAAAGAAAAAAAATCTTTTTTTCATTGTTTTTCTTGTTTTATCTGCTTAATGAAATGAACTGGATCTGTGAAGCACCCTGGCTTTGGTGTGAGAGATTAATTATAAGCCACAAGAGAAAACCCTGAAAGTCTTGGTGCATAGTCATATGGAGAATGCATATAAAAAACCTTTGTGGCGTACAGACTTATAATAGTGTTATGTTCATGGAGGATATACTGATGGATTTTACTTACAAACGAAAAGCATGTGGTATAAAGCCCTATGGAGAAAATACTGCAATTAAAAATCTATTTGAAATCCATTCTTAGGGTGGAATTTGATTTGATTTAAATAGCGCTGCCCTAAGTTTGAACCCTCTCTAGTATATTTGACTAAATGGTTTTAGATAATTTGCTGCATTACTTTAAATTATTTCAAGTGTTCCTCATAGTAAAAGAATATAATTATCTGTTGACCTTTTATTTAAATTAGTAATTCAGTATATGGCAAATTAATATAAAGGTTTTAAAACTGCAACACCAGGTAAAATAACATACTGGAACATCTTTACTGGTGACATGTATCAATATATAGTATAGATTTTTTAACCTTTCTTTTCTAGACTGTAATACACCAAATTCTCTGGAGTTCTGTATAATCTCACATAATAAAATACACCTCAAAAAAGTAATTCTGATAGTCTGTGAGAGAAGTGTTGTCATGTATGTCCATGAAAAAAATTAAACCACAAATGTCCTTTCTGGCAAAAGTGTATTGAGCAGGCAAAAAAACTAAATTGAGCTGTAAACAAAGGTAATTGTGTTTTGATTCTGTAGAAATTGTAATGAATCTTGAGTGATCAGGATTTAACTTAACTTTTCTGAAATGCTTTTCCCATCAGAAAACATTTTTTTCCTATGTAAACAGTTCTGTAAAAAGTAGTTATTACAAACAAAGCAGGCACAGCAATGGATTGAAAGAATTCACTAGCACTAGCACCCCGTTTTTGAAGTAAGTACGTTAGGAATTTTCCATTTGTCTCTTTGAAACAATCTAATTTCATTATCTTTTTTCTGCTGCTGAGTTTATTAATTTTAATGCCAATAAACTAAATCCCATCTTTGACATGGAGTGAACATGTAGATGGACAAATATTTCAAAGTTGGTAGGCAAGCAATTAAAGAAATATGAGTAGACTAAAGGCATGTGAATTCCTATATGCCTTGTAAACAAATCATTTAGGAGCAGGAAGATCCCAAAGTCAGGTCCACTTTCCTTGCATACTTGTCCTATTAAGATTGTAGGAAAGATAAGTTTTACATCTCTGGCCTGACCCAAGGTATATATATGCACGCACACAAATATCATTTCTTATTAAAGAATTCTCGCTTCTCCATTCCAAAATCTATTTACAAGGGAAAAAAAAAAAGAGAGATAACATTACTAGCAATATCATTTCTGTACACAGGCAAGTAGGATTTCAGCCAGTCATTGCTTAGGGCAACTTATTTTGAACCAACATATTCTTCCTGGTGATGATCTTATATTTTCATCTCTAAGAGTTAAAGGCACTTGATAGCAATCTCATTCTGACTTTTCAATGCAATAAATTTGTCTACCTAAATCAAGGAAATCAGTGGTCAGGAACCAGTTTCTTTTTTGTAGAAGAGTTGCTAGTGATTTGGGGTCACATTCTTGAAATCATATTTCCTAGAGGGATAACCTGGGTGTGCTGCTGATTTCAGATATAATCCTGTTGGACTGTAGACACAAAGAATAGTGACTAGTTCTTGAGAGGACTGGAAGAGTTAATAACTTTAATGTGGTTGAACCCAGAGGATTCAGACTTTACATTCAAGTAGTGTAAGTCAGCCTGGAAAAAAAGGTGACTTGATGGATTGGTTGCATAACATTAATGTGTATTTTATATGATTGATGCTGTTGACTTATTTACCTGTCAAGTATGTTTATCCCTCTACACTGTACAGCTCTGGAAACCAAAGATTTTTCACAAATATGTGAAGTCAAAGAAAATACAGATTTATAGTTCTACCTGTTTGCTCATGAATTCATTTTTTAAAATAATAACCAAGGACAAGTTACTTCTCAAAGGACTTTCAAAAGAAACTCCGAGAGGCTGTGTCATTCAGTGATCAGGTTTTTTCTCTGAATTTTAACTTCATGGTTTGCTCTACGGAGAATAGCAATCAGAAAACATCTTTCTTCAGAATTTTATAGAGAGTATTGCCCACATTTTATCCTCTAATTCCTCTGCTTTTTTTTTCTAAAGCATACACATTTTGACTTTGAGGAACTCTCAATATGTTTATGTAGAACAACTAGGCCTAATCAAAATGTATCTTAATTTGCAGAAGATATATTATTTTATGTTACTTCCACAATCAGCGGACACTGTAGACGTCATTGTTGATGCACATTGCTTGCTTGCTTCCTTCCTTCCTTCCTTCCTTCCTTCCTTCCTTCCTTCCTTCCTTCCTTCCTTCCCTGCTTCCTTCCCTCCTTCCTTCCCTCCTTCCCTCCTCCCCTCCTTCCCTCCTTCCCTTTTTCAAACCATCATGTAACATTTACAGTTATTGATGTCACTTATGATTTCTGTGGCTTAAAGCCATTGTAGTCCAAAATAATTTGGACAAAAGGAGCACATTTCAAAAAGAACTAGGGAAGAAACACATTCCTTCTCCTGAAACAATTAATAAATAGCCTTATAAATGTTGGAAAGTTTTATCACAGAGCATTGTCATGTTCTGGAATAAATAGGTGTTAGATCAGCTGCATATAGGATCTGATTTGTCACAAGTTTTTCAGAATAAGAACGTGTGGAAGAATGACTTACAGTTTTATGTCGGCTTTTACCAGTATTTTTTAAAAAATAACAAATCCTACTTTCATCTGGTAGTTGACCTTGCAAACAATGGCACTGGTTTGAACAACATGAACTGTATTGTTTTCACCATTATTGCATGGTATCAAATAATGTACTAATATAAAAATATAAGAGCGGCTTGGAAATTTCCTATCCACAGAGCTAAATGCTTCACTATATATTGAAGTATATATAAGTGAATGCAAAATAAAACAGATCTACTACTTCCTTCAAGCTATGGAAAGAAATGAGAACACTGTAACTCCAAAATATGA